TCTTCTGGTCCTACTGCACATACTATTCGTCAGTCTCTTCTCCTGTGCAGGTGTGGGGGTCGGGGGGAGTGTGTGACAGGATGCGTGTGTCTGTGTGTGTGAGCGGGAGAGGGAGAGAGACAGAGGCAGTGTGTGTTGGGGGAGAGTGAGTTTGTCGGCATGCTGTCTGGGTAAGTTGGAACAGCTGCTGTCCCAGAAACACCATGAGAGACTCTTCCCCTCTGTGCCAGGTGGACCCAGTGTGGGGCAGGCAGGCTGAACCAGGCAGGATCCAAGTCTGAAGAGGCTCAGTGTGGGGGGATCTAGGTGTCCCACCTGTGTGGGACAATCTGGGTGCAGGCAGACTGTGGCAGGATGTGGATGCACAGGGGCTCGGGGAGGGGCAGGGTCCAAGTGCAGGGACAATGGGACTGTGCAGGGCCTTCCAGGTGAAGGTGGTTGGGGATCAATGGAGGGGTCTGGGAATGGAGGTTTCAGCGGGGGAGTCTGGGTGCAGTTAGTTGGGGGGGTCAGTGGCATGGGGGTCTGGATGTGGGAGCTCAGGGTGATGTAGGGGGTTGCAGCTCATAACGGTCAGGGTTTAGTGCAGGGAGGTCAGTGGGGGTGGTGTGGGTGCAGGGGTGGAGGTCTGGAGGCAGGGGGTCTGGGTGCAGGGGGTCTCCAGATGCAAGAGTTGATGTTCAGTGGGGTGAGGTTTGGGTATGGAGAGCTAGGTGAGTTTTAGGTGTACGGCGTGAGGCTTGGTGGGGGTGTCTGGATATGGGAGGTCCAGATGCATGGAGTTGGGGGAATGGGGGAGCAGCTCCCCGTAGAGTGTCCCCTCCCCGTGCAGCTGAGGAGCGATGGGGGCAGGAAGTGGGGAGGATGCTGAGCTTGCTGCAGCTGGGGAAGGTTTTTTGGGGTGAGTCTGACAGAGCCCCATACTCCTTGCAGGGGAAGAGGAAGTCCCTTCCTCTCCTGCCTCCAGCCCAGGCCGGGACTAGCAGCTGATCCTGGTTCAGGGTTGGAGCTCCTGGCTGGGGTATCGCCAGCCCTGTGGTGATTTACTTCTTCACCGACTACTCCGGGTACCTGAAATGATGTACCTGAGCTGCTAGGGAGTGGTGCGTGACTGTTCTTGCAGCGCCCTTTGCATGGGTTTTGTGGCCGCAAGAAACCCTGGCTGGTTTGGAGCTGTGTGTCCGATGGGACGGCTGCTGTCTGGTTAGGTGTCACTGGGAGATAACTTTTGCGGTGCGCCATATCTTCTGTAACCTACCGTCACTGATGATCCTGGTGACGAATGTCACACACCAAAGCCAAGCACGGGGGCGAAGGTTTTTCAGGAATTCTGGAGATAGCCCGCAGCTGTTCCACACTTGATGCTACCCAGTGTCTGTTCCAGCTCTGTTACAGTAAATGGTTGTGGGCAGCTTCTGATCTGGTGTACATATTGAAATATACGCCATTCGTTCCTCACTTGTCTTCGCACCTGTTTCTCCAGAGGTGCTCTGGCCACTCTCAGTAGGTGTCCGGCTACCTGGCTGGGTGTCACTGAAGGTCGGCAGGGTGCAGGTGGCTGCTGCGCTGCTCCAAGGTTTTGGCGCGACTCCAAGACTTGCAGCTGGAGCAGGTAAAGCTCATCCTCTCGGTCGTCTCCTCCCATCTGGCTCGGCGAGCAGTGTCCAATGATTCGATCAGAGGGTCAGCGGCGTCTGGGTCACCAGAGGCCTCCTACTGCTTGTGCAAGGCAGCGCTCTCCTCCTCGAGACAGGGGATGTAGACCGGGGAGCAACCGCGTGGGATGGCTCTGCAGGCTGCTTTGTAGAAAGCACCACAGACACGACGGTAGGTCTCATTTACCGAGAGATGCCAGGCTGGTATTGTCACTACTGTCTTCTCCAGCGCTTCCTGGTATATTTCCCGGTCGGCCTTTCAGAAGTTCCACCTCTTCTATTTGGAACTCTTGACACCTGGGAGCTGTATCCCAATATGGATCAGGAGAAAGAGGAACCACAAAAATGTGGTTTGAGGTATGGATCAGCTTCCATCTGAGGAGAGATTAAAAAGATTGGGATGGTTCATCTTGGAGAACACATGGGAGAGATGATAGAGGTCCATAAAATCATGACTGGTGCAGAGAGAGTCAATAAGGATGTGTTATTAACCTGTCCTATAGCAATAGAACCAGGGATCACCCAATGAAATTCGTAGGCAGCAGGTTTAAAAGAAACCTAAGCGAGTACTTCTTCACACAACGCACAGTCAACCTGTGGGATTCGTTGCCAGGGGATGTTGTGAAGGCCACAAGAATAACTAGGAGTGGAAAAAGAACTCGGTAAGTTTGTGGAGGATAGGTCCATCAATGGCTAGATTGCCAGCTGCTAGCACTGGACGAGAGGGGACGGATCACTCAGTAATTGCTTTGTTCTGTTCATTCCGTCTAAAGCTTCTGGCACAGGCCACTGTGGGAAGCCAGGCTACTGGGATAGATGGACCATTGGTCTGACCCAGGGTGGCCGTTTTTATGTTCTTAGAGGTGTCCACCTGGACCCCAGCAGAGAGAGTCTGAGGAGAGAACGGGGAAGGCTAGGGAAGTGCTGGGCAACTGCTGAGAGTGGGGAAATGAGCTTCGCTGAGAAGAACAACTGTTGTGTGATGCGTTACAGGCAGAAACCAAACACGGCAGCTTGTGTGTTTTTGTCCCCCCCACCAATCTCACTTCCCCATCTGACCCAGTCACTGGAGCAGGCACTGGTGTGCACCACATCACCGTAATTATCAGCCTGGTCCTCTTCCAGGGCCCCGGAGATGGTTAAATAGCCGGCGTCACTGGACGTGTCTTCAGTTCAGCTCAGATCGAATCTGAAACGTGAAAAGTCCGGCTTGGAATGGTTCCAGAGCGGGGAGTTGAACGTGGGCTGCCCATGGTCTAGGTGAGCGCCCTCCCCACGGGGTAAATGAAGAATGGGTGGGGGTGTCAGGAACAGTAAGAGCAGCACCAGCCCCCTCTGGCCAGTTTGTGACTGGCCAAAACGAGCCGGGTCCAATTTGTGCGTCCTTTCGGCTGGACCAAAACTGCACCTTTTGCCGAATAAATTATTTGTCTGAAACGTTTGGAGCAGCTCTAGTTACGTGGAACTCACTTTGCCTTTCGATGCCCTGGGTTGAACCCAGGGGGGACTCTCAGCAAACCCCTTTCGGGGCTGAGATCCCCCCTGAAGCGCTCGACCACTGATCTACACAACTCCAGTCCGGCAGGTGCACATTGACAACCCTCTGGACACTTGGTAACGGCGTCACTGCCGGGTTTACCCCACTCCCCTGAGGATTGGATTCAGAAGAAGAGCAGCTGGTGGGCTACTGAGAAACCTGGCCACCTCCTGAGAGGGAGCGGTGTGGCACCTCGCCCTTTCCTCAGGACTCCCTGGGGTTCTCACCAGCAATGGCTGCTTGGCCGGGGCAGGAGCCCACACGAGAGCTGTCTGCTGGGAGACTTCCTAATGCTCCGAATGGGCCTGTCAACTCACTGGAGTGCAGAGCCTGGAGCCTGCGCCAGGGGAGGGAAGACTCAGCCCTTTCCCACCCCAGGGGTTACTAAGGAGACAAAGTGTGAGCCCAGGCTGCCGAGGAGGGTTCGTGGGCAGATGAAATAAGACGCCTCCATTCCCAGCTCAGAAATGGCCTCTCACGCTGTCCCAGAAAGAATGAGAATAAATGATCCCCTGTGTCAACGGGCAGTTTGTGTCTCACTTCCCCATCTGGCCGTGTCACTGTGAGCAGAGCTGCTGTCACTGTCCCCCACCTGACAGTAATAATCAGCCTCGTCCTGCGCCTGGACTCCAGTGATGGTTAACGTGGCCGTGTTACCGGAGCTGGCCCCGGAGAATCGATCGGGGATTCCAGAGGGTCTGCTGCTATCTCTATATATAACGAGTAGGGGGGCGCTGCCAGGTTTCTGTTGGTACCAGTGCACATACTTGCTACCAATGTTGCTTCCCGAACAGGTCAGTTGAGCTTTTTGCCCTAGAGACACAGACACTGAAGGCGGCTGAGTCAGCACGTACTGGGCGAGAGAACCTGAGACAGGAGGAGAAAACATGGGGATACAATCAATATTTCAAGAGCTAACCCACCACAGGCCGTGCAGGAGCCCGAGGAAGAGAAAATCCCCTGACTAAAGAGATGGAGAAAAACTCTCCCGCTTGTAATACCTGAGCAATAAGTGAGCAGCGTGAGGAGCAGAGGGGCCCAGGCCATGGTGGATCCAGACAAGCTCGGCTTCCTGAGGCAAACGGGTCTGTGTCTGGGACCCTCCGATCCTCTCTTAAACCCCCAGTGCTGGAGAACGGCCCCTTCATGCAAATCAGACCCCTGCTCACTGGCTGCTGCTGCCTTTCACTCCCCAAGAGCGAAGGCACCCAGGGGAGAGCCTCTCTGCATAAATCCCCTGAGACACCTGTAGGGGAAAGGACTGCTTTGCTTTTCATCAGCAAGAAGAAAGTTCAGCTCATGCCAGAGGTGAGCAGCTCCCAATGGGTTTGGTCTGCTCAGAACGTCAAGTGCAGACCCCTCTCCCCAGAAATCTCCAATTTTATCTGCCTTGGACCTCAAATTAAACTGTGGTTTCTTCTCATGCTCCCAGGCCACAATTGTTTTCAGAGTTATGCCACCATTTTCGGTCATTGCAGGAAGAAATTCTGGCCAGTTTTGGGGTGATCATTTCTGGTGTGCTGGATGGTGTGGGTGCTGTTGGATGGAGACTGGATTTGGGCTAGTTTCGGAGTGGAGGCTGGATGAAGGCAGTTGATATTTGCAGACCTTACATCAATCCATGGTTCCCAGGACAGTCCCGATGTGACGCAGAAACTCCCCATTCCACGGGGCTGGCTGGACTTGGCTCCTCACTCTGGGAACTGCAACCTGGCCCCTAGTGAGCGGGTCACAGCCCTGCTCAGGTCTGGCCCGGCCGCCCCACGGGAACGCGTGAGGAGCTGCTGGTTCATCTTTTCTTTCTCCCTTTAAGCCGTCGTGCCAAGTGCGATGCCCCGTTTATTTCTGGCAGCCCTCGCACTGCGTCCTTTGTTATTCAGCAGACGGTGAGTGTTCGTGGGCTCGAGGCGGAGGGGTCTAGTGCTGGGCGCGCTGACAGCCCCTGCCTCTGAGCGTGTGGCAAACGCACCTTCCCCAACATCTAGGGCCGGTGCACACCAGCACTCAGTGGCCAGCATCGCACTTGCCATGATCACTTCCCTGACTCTCCATGCCTGTAGGGAACATCGCTAGCCAGTCCCTTCCAGCATTCAGCCTCTTCCTTCCAGGATGTCCTTCTCCACACTAACCAGCTGATCAGGCCCTCGGCTTAGTCACTTTGGGCAGAGATCAGCCAGTTATTCAGGCAGCTGGAGGAAGATTAAGACATTCCAGAGCTGGGCAGCCACTGGGGTGCGGCTACATGAATCTAACTCTGTGAGACACAGACAGACCCGTCCCCAGGGGAAGGGGCAGGGAGGCAGTACCACCCCGGGCTCCTGCACGGTGCTTTACCCTGCGCTTTTGAACATTGCCGGACAGAGTAGAAATTGACTGTCACCACCTTAGATCCCCTACACTGAGAGTGCCGAGGAACCGTAAATCTCCACAGAGTTCAGGTGTAATCACAATATCCTGGAAGAGCGTCTCTGCCTTTCGATGCCCTGGGCATTCATCCCACTCCCCTGAGGATTTGATTGAGAAGTAGAGCAACTGATGGGCTGCTGAGGAACCTGGCCACCCTCGTGAGAGGCAGGGGTGTGTCCCCTCTCCCTTTCCTCAGGACCCCTGGGGTTCGCAGTAGCAATGCCTGCTTGGCCGGGGCAGGAGCCCACAGGAGAGCTGTCTGCTGGGGGACTTTCCAACACTCCTCTGGGAGCAGAATGGGCCTCTCCACTCAGAGGAGCACGGAGCCCTGTCTGCACAGCGGCAGAGCCTGTGTCAGGGGAGGAGAGACTCAGCCCTTGCCCAGCCCAGCCCAGGACTCCGCGTGTGGCCAGCTCCCCAGCAGAGCTGTGCTGAGATGGCATCAGCCAGGGCCCCAAGAGACACAATCGCTCCAGGATTCTGGAGGGTCTCTCACTGTCCTTGTATATGGATGGGGCCAGGATTCTCCCCCATGCAGGGAGGTGAGATGGTTCCCAGGGCTTACTAAGGAACCATACTGTGACCCCAGGCTGCTGAGAAGGCTTTCTGGGCAGATGAAATAAGAAGCCTCCATTCCCACCTCGGAAAGGGCCCCTCACGCTGTCACAGGAAGAACAAGAATAAATGTGTCCATTCGACAACAGAGGTTTGTGTCTCACTTCCCCGCCTGACTGTGTCACTGTGAGCAGAGCTGCTGTCACTGTCCCACCGCTCACAGTAATAATCAGCCTCGTCCTGCGCCTGGACTCCAGTGATGGTTAACGTGGCCGGGTTACCGGAGCTGGCCCCGGAGAATCGATCGGGGATTCCGGAGGGTCTCTCACTGTCCTTGTATATGACGAGTACGGGGGCACGGCCAGGTTTCTGCTGGTACCAGCTCACATACCTTTCATCAATCTTTTCACCTGTGCAGGTGAGTTGAGCATTTTGCCCTGGAGACACAGACACTGCAGGCGGCTGGGTCAGCACGTACTGGGCGAGCGAACCTACAAGACGAGGAGAAAACACGGGGATAAAATCATGATGATGAAAGCTCTGGGCCAGCAGCCGCGGGAAGCAATGGGAGAAATGGGTCTAAAATCAAAGACCCTCTTTGATTGAAAGACTGAGATAAGCCCCCCTCCCTCGCCACACCTGAGCAATATGTGAGCAGCGTGAGGAGCAGAGGGGCCCAGGCCATGGTGGATCCAGACGAGCTCGGTTTCCTGAGGCAAATGGGTCTGTGGCGGGGACCCTCCAATTCTCTCTTAAACTCCCAGAGCTGGAGAACGGCCCCTTCATGCAAATCTGCCCCCTGCTCACTGGCTGCTGCTGGCACCTCCCTCCCCTCAGTACAGCTACGGACAGACCCAAGAATTGTTTTGTTTCCCATTTGCAAGGAAAAATGTAGCTTATATTGGGGGTGAGGGGCTCCCGAAGTGCTCTGTCTGCTCAGATCGTTACCGTTCAGAGCACTCCCCCTGGAGTGAGGAGTCTCCAATGTTGTCTGCTTGGCACTGTAAAGCTAGCTGGGTTTCTTGTCATGACCCTGACCCTGCGGCAAGAAACCCTGGCTGGTTTGGGGCTGTGTGTCCTTGGTGGGACGGGTGCTGGGACTTGCTGGCGGTGCAGGTTGTGCAGGTGTCTCTGAGAGGTTTGCGGTGTGGACTGATGGCTTCTGGGATTCGCAGCTGCTGCCTGGGGCGGGTGTTGGCGGGGGTTTGGGAGTGGACAATGTGGCGGCTGCTGGGTGGTGGACGTGCGGCTGGGTGGTTATGTTGCTCCTGGAAGATGCTGCTGAGAGATGTCCTGCTGGAAAGGGGCAGGGGAGGGGCTGAAACCCTTCTGCGCTGCACACTGCTCACGGGAAACTCACTGAAAGATGGTGAGGAACCAGCTGAGGATACTGTGAGCAATGGGGCCTGCGGTGAGCAAGGCAGCTGGCTCCTGATGGATTTTTGTGGCTTTCCCTGCAGAAGGACCTGGTGTGGGCAGCGGGATGGGAATGTGGCAGGAGAAGAGGGAGAGAACTTCTGCTTCTCTCCCCTTCGCTTCCCCCTCCCGGGTGAGAGCAGCCCCTGGGTTTTGGTGATCTTGTCGTGACCCTCCAGCCATTCCAAAGGAGACGGCCAGTCTGAGTGCCCCTGCTCCAGGGCGCGGGGAGCAGAGAGGGGAGGGTGGTGGCTGGGGAGTGAGAATCTAAAGCACAGTGTCCTCCAGGGTCACATTGGAAAGGGGAAAGTTGTAGGGGTATGAAAAGCCCCAAGCCCAGAGATGTCTCTGTCCCCACAGTTTGTAGCCTGGCACCTGGACACGGCTGCACTCACCCAGACGCCCAGCTCCAGCACTGGATAGAGGACGAGCTCCCCCGGGTGGTCAGTGTCGCTATTACTATGATCAATCCTTCCAGCGTTTCACAGGAGCTCAGGCCCGGCACGCTGAGCTCATGGGAACGCTGCCCCCTCCTGACTGTCTCACAGCTGCAGGGAACAGCGGTGTACGGTTGTTTCTAACGTTCACGCTGTTCCTTGTCAGGGTGTTTGTTCTTCTCTGCACTGATCACATCACCAGCCTGCTCACATCTGTTGAAGGGATTACCCCGGCACTTAGGCAGTTGCACCTGCCTTGATGAGGATTGACCCAGCCCAATAGATGGAAGCCACCCCCTGCCAGTAGGTGTTTGTATTGTTGCCTTTTTTAGCAACATCAGTGTCCCTTTTCTGACACCAGTATCAGCTCTCTGTGAGCCATGGCAGACATTTGGGTCTTGAAGGCCAGCTCCCCAGTGGAGAGGCAATCAGTGACGTGGAGCCTGGGTATATTCTGAGTGTAGCTAATTTTATTTTCACCTATCCCGGTTCTGGAATGGAGAAGCCAGGCAGGCCCTTCTCCCAGGAATCTCAGCCCAACACCACTGCTAGAGGGCCAGGAAACAACTCTTCCTCAAGAATTGACTCTGATCAGAGCCCTGGGCAGACAGCAAACTGTCCTGCAGCTCCCACAGCTCCCTCTCGCCTTGTATGACCAAAACACCACAAACATTTCTTCCAAGACTAAAACGTTGCTCACACAAAGGCTCTGTCTGCACTGGCACTTTTGTCATTAAAATCTTTGTTGCTCAGTGGTGTGAAAAAAATACCCCCTTGAACGACAAAAGTTGTAACAACAAAAAGCATCGGTGTGGACAGTGCTTCATTGGCGGGAGACTCTCGTCCAGCAATGAGCTACCGCCCTGGTTCGGGGTGGTTTTATTTTGTTGCTGGGAGAGCTCTCTCCCGGCACCACGGAGCGACTACACTGTGCAGCTTACAACGGCGTGGCTGCAGCCACTCTCTGTAAGGTGTGCAGTGTAGACATAGCCTAAGAAAAAGACTCTGTAACAGCACGAGCTGGGCAGGGCGAAGGCCAGGTCTGATGGCTGGAGGCCTCCTAGCTCTGGAGATGTAGATGGGGATGTTGTGTCAGGCTTAACCAGAGCTGCAAGCTCCCCCTGCCTGGAGGGGATGGTGACACTTAGACCCTCTCAGGACAGAAGCCAGGTCCTGCAGGGGATGGAGGAAGGAGTGGGGAAAAGTTGTTCACGCAAAGCACGGAGGGAGCCGAGAAGAATTGTCCTCCCCCTTCCTCATGAGCAGAGATAGAAGGAGGGAGAAGGGCAGAGATGTTCCACCCAGTTCCCCACAGAGACAGCGGGAAGAGAGCGCAGGAAGACTGGTGAGGAGCTGCATTGCCCCTGCAAAGAGAGCAAGAGAAACAGGGTGTAATAACCATACAGCTAAGGGTAGCCTAGAATTCCTCCTAACCTGTAAGGGGTTAAGAAGCTCAAACAACCTGGTTGGCACCTGATCAAAAGGACCAATGGGGAAAGAAGATACTTTCAAATCTTGGGCGGGGAGAAGGCTTTGTTTGTTTGTGTTGCCTTGAGAAGCATCAAGTCAGAAAACTCCTTCTCCTATAAACCATCCTAAAAGTCTCTCATATTACAAAAATTGTAAGTAAAAGCCAGGCAAGGCATGTTAGATTATCTTTTGTGTTGCTTGTGAATTTATCCTTTGCTGGAGAGAGGTTTATTCCTGTTTTTTGTAACTTTGAAACTAAGCCTAGAGGAAGTTCTGCTGTGTTTTTGAATCTTTTGTTCCCCTGTAAAGTTATTTTCCATCCTGATTTTACAGAGGTGATTTTTACCTTTTTTTAAAAAATAAAATCCTTCTTTTAATAACCTGACTGATTTCTCTATTGTTCTAAGACCCAGGGGTTTGGGTCTGTGATCACTCTGTAACCAAGTTAGGATATTATTCTCAAGCCTCCCCAGGAAAAGGGGTGCAAGGGCTTGGGGGGATATTTTGGGGGAATAGGAACTCCAAGTAGTCCTTTCCTTGATGCTTTGTTAAATCACTCGGTGGTGGCAGAGTACCACCCAAGGGCAAAGAATCTTTCATGCGGGTCCCCACATCTGTACCCTAGAGTTCAGAGTGGGGAGGGAACCCTGACACAGAGCAAGAGTGAATCCTCACAGTGGGGATGGAGCTTCTCTGTGAAGATCAAATATTGGTGTGATGTGTTAGAGGGAGAAACCAAACATGGCAGCTCATGCAATTCCCTGCTGGGCCCAGGCTGGGGGAGGGGAAGTTTTTGTCTCACTTCCCCTCCTGACTGTGTCACTGTGCCAAGCATCACTGTGCCATATAGTACAGTAATAATCAGCCTCATCCTCTGCGAGAGCCCCGGAGATGGTCAAATAGCCCGTGTTACTGGCCGTGTCTTTGGAACCAGAGAAGCGAGCAGGGACCCCAGAGCCCTGGTACTTGTCAGAATCTGACTTGTATCTGAGCAGGTATCGTGGAGAATTCCCAGGTTGCTGCTGGTACCAGCGTACGTCATAGTCACTGATGCTGTTCCCACTGCTGACGGTGCAGGAGAGTTTCACGGTGTTTCCTGGGGACACTGACACTGAAGGCAGCTGAGTCACCACCGGCTGGGAACTGGACCCTGGAAAATATTGTAGAGACCTGTCAACTCCCCACTGCCAATCTCTGGTTGCTATTGACACGGTTTGTACAGTGGTCTCAGCAGTAACTTTAAAGTGTATGTAACCCGCTCCCCCTGTTCTCACCTGTGCACCACGTCCCCAGCAGGAGGATGAGAGGAGCCCACAGCATGGTGAAGAGATTTCAGGCTTTTGGGAGAAAAACAGCCAGATCCACTGAGAAGGCCTGACAGTATCGACCCTTTAAATGGATCCTCCTGGGGGAGAAGCTTCCAAGCTCCACCTTTATGCTAATCTGCTCTTATTTGACTGGTCCTTACGGTCACAGGGAGAGATGCCATGTGGGAGGAGAGATGAATTATAGCCAATAAAATGAAAGCATGATGTGTTTATGTTAACAGCGTCCCCAAACAGCCAACAGATCTTCGCTGACCATTTCTTGGAAGTCACACCCGTGCAGGACGCAGCAGAGTGGTTTTGAGGCACTGAGAACTCAAACACAGCTGAAGTGACTTTGCAAAACCTTTGAGCCTCCCCCAAGCCTGTCTTGGATGGAAACCCTCCGGCTAAAGCTGATCCTAGGGCAGATTGAAGTGATGGTTACTGGGGGAGGGATGGCTCTGAAGTACTTGTGCCACCCATGTTGCTCTGCTCAGCTGTGGGGCACCGGCCTGTGGACTGTATCTCTGTGCCCCACCAGACATTTCTTTACTGTATCCCAGCCAGACGCTGCCCTAGGCTGGACCATGGACACATTCTCTCCTCCAGAACCTTATGAATGAAGTACTGCCCCTTGCAGTAAATGGCACCTTCACTCGGAGCCCTTGCAGGGCATCTGAGCACTTGAGACATGGCGGTTGTTAAGTAAGTGAGCCCCTCTGGGGAATCTATGGGGCCACTGAATTATTAACCTACTGTGCAATTCTTTGCAATCAAATATGCCTAGAATACCACCTCTGGGCACGTGTCCATGTTATTTAATAGCACAAACAATTAACTGGCTGAAATGAAATTCATTACACTGAGATATACCCCCGCACACACCACACTTTGGGCAAAAGTACAGAGTGGGGCCTTGCTTTGTGACTCAGGATCTGTAGGACCAACAAGGGCAGTGTATGCCAGCATTGAAGATTCATCACTGAAAGCACATTGCCCTCAGCCCCCCAGGCGAGGGACTGCAAATGGCAGTTAATTCATCCGAGCCCAGCAGCCACAGGTGAGCACAGGCAGAGTGGCACTTCCTTGGGGAGTCAAGGCCAAAAGCAATTGGGCTTCAAGGCTGATTTTTCAAATGCACATGAGATGGCTGAGATTTTCAAAGCAGTGCTGGGAGTCAGCCAGCCAGTCATAGTAAGGTGCACTGCTGTGAAAATCTAACCCGCAGCAACATGTGTAGGGAATCTGGTTTCATTTACTAATGCAAAATTGACAGTTACAACCTATAACACAACCACTTATATACTCTGCCCAGTGAGATCTTTGAATTATTGTTTGCATACTGCATCCAGTTCTACTTGTCTGTGCTGCATTTCAGAGTTAAGATGCCATTGAGATGAATGGGACAGTTCACACCTCCTTAGCAATGTCTTTACAGGCTGTCTCTTACGATCAGGCAGGCAACACTGCATCCAGTCTGTAATCTTGGTAGCCAGTCCCACTGCTTATAGTGCAGGAGGGTTTCACAAGTGTTTCCTGGGGACCTTAAGGCAGTGTCTACACTGCAGAGTTTTGTCACCAAAAGTTATGCCACTTTAATGAAAGCTCTTTAATTAAAATACTGTTGCATGTCTGCACTATGCTCCCTGTGTCAGTGGAGTGCATCCACCACACTAGCAGCTCTTGAAGCGACACAGAGAGCAGTGCACTGTGGGTAGCTATCCCACTGTGCAACTGGCCGCAGGGTGCTTTGGAAAGGGTTTGCAATGCCTGATGTTGGCAGGCACAGTGTCACATGATGCAGGTTTCTCAATCCCATTGTTCCATGGGCATCCAATGAGATTGCCAGCTGCTTTTCAACCAAAGTGTGTGTGTGTGGGGGGGGGGGAGTGTGTGAGAGGGAGCATGCTTGTGTGTGTGTGAGAGAGAGAGAAAGTCAGAGACAGGGTGTGTTGGCGGGGGAGTGAGTGTGTCGGCATAGAATCATAGAAGATTAGGGTTGGAAGAGACCTCAGGGGGTCATCTAGTCCAACCCCCCGCTCAAAGCATGTTGTCTTGTATGTTCAGACAGTCGCTGGAAGCAACCAGTCCTGAGGCAGGGGGAGGGGGAAACCCCCAAATTCAGCCCCCCCCCGGCTCTGCATAGCACAGCAGTCTCTCTCTCTCTCTCTCTCACACACACACACACACACACACACACACACATCCACCCCTGCCTGCCTACCTCCGTGTCCAGTGTAGGAGAGCAGGAGTGTTCCAAGGTAATGACTGGCTCTGCAAAAAGAAAAGGAGTACCGGTGGCACCTTAGAGACTAACCAATTTATTTGAGCATCAGCTTTCGTAAGCTACAGCTCACTTCTCGGATGAAGTTGCATCCGTTCATCCGACGAAGTGAGCTGTAGCTCACGAAAGCTCATGCTCAAATAAATTGGTTAGTCTCTAAGGTGCCACAAGTACTCCTTTTCTTTTTGCGAATACAGACTAACACGGCTGCTACACTGAAGACTGGCTCTGTTTCCCGGAGCAGAGCAGCACTGCACAGCGCACCGGCTGTCAGAACGGAGCTTTGAAAGGGGAGAGGTGCATCCTGCAGGGCTGCTGAGTTCACAACAATGAGCAGAGAGGCCATGGCAGGCCTTGTGGGACACCTCCGGAGGCCAGTTACAGTGAGAAAAGCCAGCCCGGTGTTTACACTGGCACTATGGCGATAAAACTTTTGTGTAAGAAGCCTTATGACTCTCACGGAGGTGGTTTTATTACAGCGCTGAAATTGCGGCATTTCATCACCAGAAGTGGCTTTGCAGTGTGTACACCTCCGTTGCTCCGCTGCCAAAAGCTGCCTTATGGGCGAAAAAACTTGGCAGTACAGATACGCCCAAACGCTGAGGCCAGCCAAGTCCTCAGTTGAGTCTCAGCTGCCCCGACTGTGTAATTGAGTTGATGAGTTTCTTTCAGCGATGAACCTGTTGGGGACACTGGGCACTACACTAGGTAACTCGGGAGGGTGGAAGACCACGAGTGTCGAGGAAGCCCTCCTACTCTAAGCCCGGATAAACTAAGGCCCCTTTGCTCCTTGAGCCCTCTGTGATCCTGCATAACTCTGAGGAAGCTAGCACACAAACAGAGAGGTTTGCACATGGCTCGCCAGCCAAGGCCAGCTTCGGCTTGGGAAACAGCTAGATAAGGCAGAAATGTGTAGCAAAAACCAGTAACAAATAGGACCAAATAAGGCAAGGCTCGGGCAATGCTACTGAGGAAAAACACAACTGGCTGCTTTAGCTGACTGGCTACGGTATTGTACGGGGCAGCAGGTAATTGGTTGCATAAGCTTGTGCAGTGAAATAGGCAAAGGTATATAATGTATACTGGAATCTGCTGCACTGCTGCAGGATTTGAGACAGCTCAGTCTCCCTGCGCCCTATTTGAAGCTTCAGATAAATCTCTCTGCTTCTCCACCCCGTTGTGGTCATTGGCACGATGCACACTGGGCAACGAACCCAGCTGTTGCTTGCCTCAGGCACTCTGTGCCGGCAACAAACCTTAACACCCCATAGGTCTCCGTGCAGAAGTGGAGACTCAGAAAATGTGAAACATGCCTAAGACTGGTGAAACGTCACACCACATGAGAATTGTGATATGCAGTGAAATCTGCACAGGGTGGTAGAAAGCACTGGGATGTTCTGGTCAGTCTGAGAGCTGCATTAACAGAACGTCTGTCGGGCAGGATTTCTGGGCTGACTAACTAGGAAAACCCCTTACGCCTTCTCTGATATGGCCCCCCCATCACAAGAGAGAATATTTAATGTGGCCTTTGATAATATGAGGTTTATGTCTTACTTCCCCATCTGACTGTGTCGTTGTGAGCAGGGTCATCCCACACCTGACAGTAATAATCAGCCTCGTCCTGCGCCTGGACTCCAGTGATGGTTAATGTGGCCGTGTTACCGGAGTTGGCCCCGGAGAATCGCTCCGGGATTCCAGGGACTCTCTTGTTGTTTTGATAGAGAAGCTGTACGAGAGCACTGCCAGGTTTCTGTTGGTACCACTGCACATGGTAAATATTAATGTTGTCTCCTGAGCAGGTGAGTTGAGCATTTTGTCCTGGAGACACAGAGACTGAAGGTGGCTGAGTCAGCTCGTACTGGGCGAGAGAACCTGAAACAGGAGGAGAAAACGTGGGGATAAAAATTACTGAGAGACAATAAACTGCAGGCAGCACAAGGAGCTGGAAAAGGGAAAAGCTTTTTGGATTAAGAAATGGAGAGAAACCTGTCCCCTCACAGCACCTGAGCAGTGAGTGAGCAGCGCGAGGAGCAGAGGGGCCCAGGCCATGGTGGGGAATCCAGACGAGCTCGGCTTCCTGACGTCTCTGGCTGGGACCCTCCAATTCTCTTATATCCCCAGAGCTGGAGAACGGCCCCTTCATGCAAATCTGCTCCCTGCTCATTGGCTGCCAGTGCCAACAGACATACTCCATCCGCTTTGGAAGGGCAGTGACAGGGTGAGAATTTCTCTTTATATAGCCCCATAGTTACTTAGGTAGGACAGAATTATTTTTCCATTTGCAAGCGGACAATAGAGAGAATCCTGGAGCTGAGGAGCTCCCACTCTGCACAACCTGCTCCACCACTTAGTTCATGGAGCAGAGACTCTCTAACTGTCTGCACCTGGGGCAAGAAAACCAATGAGATTTGTTGTCATGGCCGCAACCCACAATCCCCTGCAGTCACATCCCACCATGCTTTGGGTCACAACCAGAAACATGGCTAGATTCTGGGTGACCACTGATGGGATGCTGCCTGGGGTGGGTACTGCTGAGTGGGGTGAGGGCTGGGAGGAGTGCAATCTGGGGCAGGGCCATGGTTATGGGGATGCTGCCTGGGGGAGGTGGCTCGGCTGAGCAGGGAGCAGTTGTAGAACTGATCAATGAAATTGTTTTAAATTGTTCACTTTATTAATATAACTTCATAAGCAAAGTTTATGAATGAAACAACATTCATTCATAAACCCGGTTACCCCAATAACTGGCTAATTGAGTTTCACTTTCAATCCAACTGCTGCTTAAAGCGCTGAAACTTACACTGTTTCAACATTGTAACTTCTGCTCACTGGTTGTCATTATACTTGTCCATATTGTAACTTCTGCTCACTGTTTGCCATTCCTTACACTTGTCCATATTGTAACTCAAACTCCATTTTAACTTGCCCCAAACTCCATTTTAAAATGCTCACTCCGTTTTGTAAAAGCTTGCTGCAGCCTTCATTTTTGCAAACCCTGCTGTGACCTTATTAGTGTAGTTTAGATGTGTGAATGAGGTATGTATGGATGATGGAATCAACCTCCAGCCCCAGCCTGTCCTGATGAAATAAAATGTAAACACCAAGGGCTGAAGATGCAGACAACAGCCCTGACAAAGCAAGAAGAGTCCACCCTAAGAAGAAAAGAACAAAAGTACAATTGAAGAAACATCAAAGCCAGGTCCTAGGCTGAAAGTCATGTTTGCAACTGATGGGTGATCAATCACACCGAACCCAGAGGCAGCGTGACCTACAAGACCTATAGACTCTGGATTCAAACTAAAGCCTTCAAAATGGATGGAAGAGATGGAAGACTTTGGAGGGTAAAATTCTGCTGCCAGCATGGAAGGGCATCGGTGCATGCCCAACAGAGACCCAGCCCTTCCTTGTGCCCGGCTTTCCTGGCCAGTTAGTTGCCACAAGCTACGAACCCAAGCCATGAACTCAAGCTACTTTCAGGACTGGTAACTATCTAGAAGCTGCAGAACATTTGATGTGTGTGTGTGTGTACATAGGTATTAGATATTAGTTATTGGTCATAAATCAAATTGTGTTATAATAAACGTGACATCTTGTCCCCTGAAACGATCCTGTGTAGTGTTGTCTGCGTAACACAATGGGGTGCTGGTGGAGGGCTAGGATGGTGCTTCCAGCTGCTGCCTTTTCACCTGCTCTTTTGACTCAGGGCAGTTGCAGCACCAGTTGAAGATGGCGAGGATCCTGTTGGTCACTGTGAGTCGTGGGGCCGGCAGGTGGCCAGGGGCCAGCTGATCACCACCTCTACACATGGCTCCCCTGGGGCAGAGCACGGAGTGACTGGGTGAGGGAGGAAGCAGGAGGGGCTGCAGGCATAGGCAGCCCCAGTGCTTCTCCCTCTCTGCCCTCAGGATTTGGGGATTTCATTGTGCCCTGGGGAGAGAGCTCCTGCCCTAGAGATCATGGAGCAGGGAGGGCAGAAGGGGCTGGATGGGAAGCTGAGCCCCCAAATCTGAAGCCGCTAGGGGTAGGGTGACCAGATGTCCTGATTTTATAGGGACAGTCCCAATTTTGGGGTCTTTTTCTTATAAAGGCTCCTATTACCCCCACCCCCTGTCCCGATTTTTCACATTTGCTGTCTGGTCACCCTAGCTAGGGGACCTCATATGTACCGTACATCTAAGAGCCGTTATGATATGAAAAGCCCCTGAGCCCAGAGATGACTCCATTGCAGCTGCTGGTAGCTGGTCACTGTGAACTGCACCCCCCCTTCTGCACCCTTCCACAGCTCGTGGATGATCAGCTCCCCCTGATATCTAAACCAGCATATTTAGATTCATAAAAATATTCCCCGAGAGCAGATTTTGCCTTTCACATGCCCCAGTCTGTGCACCACGGGGCTGTCAGCAAAACCTCCTTTGGGGCATAAGCCCCCCTAAAGGGCTCTGTCCCCTCACTGCACATTTCATATTGGGACACACATGCTGGTAACCCATGGGGTTGCTGGAATATTTTCCCTACTCCCCAGGAGGTCTGACTGTGAAGGAAGAATTGCAGCTGTTGTGGAAACTACTGGTGGGGAGGAGAGGGGGTGGCCCCTCTCCCTCTTAAGATCCCACTGAGGTGAGCGTCATGAGTGGGATACCAGAAGCGGTGAGAGAACAAAGCCATTGCACCAGCATCGCTGGTGGGCCAGTTTACGAGTCGAGTTTATTCCTTTAGATTCAGTGAAAGTGATGTTCCATTGCTCCGAACTGTCCTTCCTCTCTGGAGCTCCCAGTGTCCTGGGGTGACAGAGGGGGTCTCTGAGGCAACATACTGTGACCCCAGGCTGCCTGGAATCAGTGCTGGGCTGAGTTAAGAGGAAATACCTTCCCCCCCCCCTCAAAAATGGCCCCTCACCATCACAAGAATGATATAAAATGTTCCCTTTCATAAGGGGAGGTTTGTGTCTCACTTCCCCGTCTGGCTGTGTCACTGTGAGCAGCGTTACTGTCCCACACCTGACAGTAATAATCAGCCTCGTCCTGCACCTGGACTCCAGTGATGGTTAACGTGGCCGTGTTACCGGAGTTGGCGCCAGAGAATCGATCGGGGATTCCGGAGGGTCTGCTACTACTTTGGTAGATAAGCTGTAGGGGGGGCGCTGCCCGGTTTCTGTTGGAACCACTGCACATGCTTGCTCCCAATGTTGTTCCCTGTGCAGGTGAGTTGAGCATTTTGCCCTGGAGACACAGACACTGAAGGCGGCTGGGTCAGCACGTACTGGGCCAGAGAACCTGAGACAGGAGGAGAGAACAGAGGGGTGTAAAATCAGTCATTAGTCATTCGTCGTGAAGTTAAAGCTGTGGGCCGGCAGCCTGGGAACCACACAGAGAAGAGTCTCTGAAAGCAAAGACCCCCTTTGACTAAGACAGACAAACCCTCCCCCCTGCAGCACCTGAGCAGTACGTGAGCAGCGTGAGGAGCAGAGGGGCCCAGGCCATGGTGGATCCAGACGAGCTCGGCTTCCTGAGGCAAACGGGTCTGTGGCTGGGACCCTCCCATTCCCTCTTAAACCCCCAGCGCTGGAGAACGGCCCCTCCATGCAAATCTGCCCCCTGCTCATTGGCGGCTGCTGCCTGTCATACCCCTTCACTGGGGTGGGAAAGGGTTGTTTTGTTTTCCATTTACAGGGAGAAAATAAGAAGTCTCCTGACGAGGTGCCCTCCATGTGCACAGGCTGCTCTGGCAGTTCCTTCTCGGGGCTCTCTCCCCTGGAGCAGGGCCTCCACACTGTATCCGCAGCAGACCCCAACACTCGCTGGTTCTTGCCATGACCCCAACCCACAATCCTTCTCAGTCACATCCCGCAATCCTCTGGGGTCACAACCACAAACCAGGGCTGGTTGGCGGGGGAGGGTCTGTGGGGTGGCTGCTGCGGGGGTGGGGGGGGTCTTGTGGAAGAGCTGGCTGCTGGTGGGGGCAGTTGGTCACTGAGGTCAGCACGGCTGGGCTTGGTGGGTGGTTTGGGGCTGGCTGGCTGGGGGAGTTGGTTTGGCCCAACAGGCGGGTGAGCAGAGGAGCTACCAGGGATGCTGGCAGAGCGGGTAGGAGGGGTGTTTTTTTCCCTCTTTCCCCGGCCCTGCTCCTCAAGGGAAAGCTCACTCAAGATGGTGAAGAGGTGTGTGTGTGGATCAAGCCAACTCGCTCCTCCCAGCCTTTAATGAGTGCTACCCTGGAGCAGAGCACAGTGCAGGTGGAGGCAGGGAGGTGTGCAGGGCAGGCAACAGCAGCAGGAGTAGCAAGGAGCCGAGTGTCTCCTTCTCTCTCTCTAGCAGTCAGTTTATTTTGTCACGACCCCCCATTCCCCAGTCCAATTTCTCTTTGAGAACCTCGGCTGCAGAGAGGGGAGGTGGAGAACAGGGAGCTGGACTCCCAGGCAGAATGTCCCCTGGGGTAGTTTATTCATATTATATGGAAGTTGGGGCAGCTTTGTCCCATTAGACTGGGAGTCAGGAGACCTGGGTTCTAATCTTGGCTCTGCTACTGACCTGCTTCATCACCTTGGGTAGGTCACTTCACCTCTGGGTGCCTCTGCTTCCTCTTTGTCTCTCTCGTCTATTTTGATTCTAAACTCTTCTTAGCAGAGACTGTCTCGCACTCTGTGTTTGAACAGCACTGAGCATCCTGGGGCGCTGAGCTTGATGCACAATGCAACTAATAAATAATTAGAGCTGGCTGAAAATTTTCCAATGGGCTGTTTTTCCACCGGGAAAGGCTCTTTCATCAAAATGGAAACTTTCTTCAGGAATGTGTGGCTTTGCACCAAAATTCTGTTGAGGCGAAAGATCAAAACAAAACATTTCAATAATGTCAAAACCTTCGGCGTCCACCTTTTTGTAAGGGGATGGTTTGATTTTTTGTTTGACAATGACAGGTTTTCCTAATTTCATTTGAGATTAGAATAGTAAGTCTAAAATGTCAAAATAAAAACATAATATTTTGATTTTCTTGAAACAAAATATTTCAATTGACCCCAAATGAGTTTTTTGGGAAAATTTTGTTTCTCAGGACAT